TGCTACAAAAAACAAATATGCACAGGAATATTCCAAGACTGGAGGATAAAAATGGCGACATGAGTGATACATCCAAGTAAGCAGCTACTCGATTCTTGTTGAGATGAGCATCCTTGTGCTGACCAGGTTCTCCTCTTTAAATGAGCATTTCAGTTCTTAGCCCCATCACCCAGCTACTCATCACTGGATAGCAACATGGATTGCTGTCTTCCTTTCACCTGTCAGCATCTGCCAGTTCCTATCCTACCTCGTTTACTCAAACAGAGCCCTGAGTTCATCACTTTCCTTTATCCTGACCACCACTGGATTCATTTCAACACATCTCATCCCTCTTAGAGCCTTTGGCCCTGACCATCTAATTCTAATTCCGCCTGTGTTCTGATGTCCTCAAATCCACTGTGCAGACTCCAGCCCCTTTGATACAATGGCCTGACCATTTCACTCACTTGATTAAATTGTATGACTCTCAGTTGTCTGTAGGACCAATTTCATTTCTTAGTGTTGCTAAAGGCCAACAGGTCAAACTTCACACTTTTTATGCTAGTTGTCAAATATTCCTTAAGATCCTCACCTTTGTTCAAGCTTCCCTTCCCCTACTCATGTACTTTGCTCTTATCCTTACTTGCCTGACTCCCAGATTTTCTTCAATACTCCTCTATCACTTCCTGGGGAATCCTTCCTTCCCCTCGGCTTAAGGAGAATACTGTCCAATCAATCTCTAAATTGTCTTAGATGTTTTGTTAATCAAATGCTGTGTCTGTGTTTATGTCTTCTGCTGAGGCAGACATGCTGCTGAAGGTTTTGCTGTTCCCTATGCAGTGCCTGTCACAGAGTAGATCATAAAGATTTATTGATTTATGTTAGTCTGTTTATTAAACCAAATGCCATTTTAAAAACCCACAAAGTGTAAGAAAGGATGATGGAAGACAATGACTAATGCCAGCTGAGAAGATCCCCAAATATCCTCATTAAAATGTAGTAATTGAGATATAACTTGAAAGATGTCCACACTGAGAAAAACAGAAGGTAAGAAGTAAAAGGGTTTCTCATAATCTCATAAGCAGAATCCAGAGTTGTGACTGAACTGTCTAGAACAAAGGACCCATGAAGAAGTCTCATCAGCTGTTATGAATAAATCCAACATTAAGTCCTTATAGGGCCTTAGACACCATGATCTTGGATTTGTTCTGAATTTCATCAGCAAGGGGGACAGAGGGAAGGGACAGAAGCAAAGAGCAGATGTAATTAAATCCCAGCTTTCTCTACTCAGGTTAAGTCGCTTAAGGATTGACAGTTTGGTTTACTGCCTGGTTGCTCTCTAGTATATTGGATTGTCATTTAAAGATTGCTTGCATGCAACCAAGAAGTAAGTATTTAACACAGCACTATTCTACAAATCCTTCTGTTGTAAGGAACATGTTCCATATCCATGGCATTCAGTATAGAAGCCACCAAACACATAAAAAGTCTAGTACTTTAAACAGAGACACCAAGGGAATAAAATTTAATAGTATGTAACTTATATTTAAATTAAAATGGCTATGTATGATAAGTGGCTACTACTCACTCAATAATGTAATGTTGGAAATTTCTCTCAGGCTGTCCCTGTAGGAAACGGGTACACTCAGGTTAGGGTAAATCAAAGAGAGTTCATTCATATTCCTGTTTCCAAAGATGCAAACAACTCTACAGGAATCATGATATGGTTAACTATGGTTAGTGACATAGAGTTAATGGAAAGCTTCACGGATAAGACTTTATACAGGTACAAGCTAAGGTGACATTGAGACTATATAATGTACAAAGTAATTCTAATAATGTTTTACACAATAAAATCATACTCAGGATTGTTTTCTTCAAGAAAGTCTTTCCTTATGGGAGGTTCATTTACTGATGAGTGTGTGTTTTTTCTCTGTACAGTGCTGATCCTTGCAGTGTCCTCTCAGTATCTCTCTCCCTGATGCTCTCAGGATGTCATCCCCTTTTCCATCAGCAGGGCTGTGCTGACTTAATGATGGATCCTGTCAAGGGTTATTTAAAGGGGACATCTCCTCTACTGAGCACTTGGTGATAGGCAGGTCCTGACTGTTATCTATGGTTGGGTTTTAATATCCTGCCCTATCCATCTCTCATCTCAGAACACAGGACTTGCCTTTAGCCCTAGTTCATTGCTTGATGATTTGTTAAGGCTTTGAAAACAGAAGGAATGAGGTGCTTTAAAATAGGACAGGGCTATTTCTCTTTGCTTTATTTATTTTTATGCCATGCAAAAGGAATAAAGAGGTATAAAATGGATCAACTGAAGCCGAATAAATCTGGGTAAATAGAACAAGAACCCAATAAAATCCTGGGGGTGAGAAAGAAGAAAGGTATTAGGGATGGGAGATAAAAGGAAGGAATAAAAAAGAAAATTTAATAATTCCTGTAGTATTAGGGTCTATTTATTATTACCTAGGGAACAAAGTGCCTTTGACCCAATGCAATATTTTAAACTAGGGTTAAGCTCTGGGTGGAAATTAGGAAATTATCTTTAACATCCTTATTGAATCTTCTCATGCTGTCACCTCCTGTTATCCTTTATTAAAGCTTTGTGTGTGTGTGTGCTGCTAGGTCTAGGAAGGCTGACATCTTTTACTTGTTCTGATGAATCACAGCACAGAAGCTTGTGCGTTTTTACAGCCAGCACAACAGGAGTCTCTTCATATTATTCCTTATGCCAGGGCAGGGGGTGAGAGAGCGTGGGGATCTCTTTGTCCTAACCCTGCCCATTCAGGATGATCACTGCCTTCGTGAAATGGACAAAAGATGTAGCCAAGAGCTAATAACACAGAAACCCAGAGAATAAAGGCTAAGATCTTTAGGTAAAATTAGAAACTGCATTTATGCCCATTGCAGACCTGTTTATGTCATTGCTTTATGTAGCCCTGAATTAATGCTTCTAAATTTCCTATTGCTAATATAAATACTGCTTAACTACAATTGTTAAAGTAATCACAAGTTTCATTTAAGTACATTTTCAACCATCACTTTGGTATCGAGAACTTTTTTTTTCTCTCAGACCCAACACCAATATATCCTACTGTGCTTTCCTTCATTCCTCCTCTTCTTTTATTACAGACAATTTCTATCATACATACATTTTATATTCTTTTAAATTTAAAATATCTTTTATTTTTATGTGTGAGTGCACATGTGTGTTTGTGAGGGTGTATATGTGTGTACCTGCAGAGGCCAGCAGATAGTCTCTGCTGTTGTACCCTAGGCACTATCCATGTTTATCAGTAGAACCTAGTAGATACATGCCCGTGGTTACCATGCATCTTGCAGAGTGTTGCATGCTCTTTAGTGATGGCCATTTTGTCACTTCTGATGCTGAGAAAAATCTCTGTGTAACTGTAGTCTAGTGGGTACCCGTCATTGCCAAAAGAGTTATTTAGTTGTGTCTTCAGGCTGATTGGTAAACTCTTAAGTTCATCATTACCTTTCTGGCTTGTTATGGAGCCCTAATTAAACCATGTTACACTTTGAATGAAGCTGTTAATTTATGTACTCATCAAACCTGTTCAATAAATCCCTTGCAAGTAATTATTGCAAGGGTGCTGTGAAGGAACAGAGATGAAATGAGCCTGTTGGAAAATGCCAGTGAAGCAAGGAGAGGCAAGAGTTCACTTGTGATCATGGGAGAATTGTTTCAAGGGGCGTCATGAATTGAAGAAATTCTTTGTGAAACCACTGAGGAACAGCAAGGATTTTAACAGGTGCCTATGTGTAAGAACTGGGGAAAGAGATGGAAAGCCTTGGGAATGTGGTACTTCAGAGAGTAGTGTTTGAGAAGATGGCAGGAGACCAGGAGAATGAGAATGAGGCACATCTGCCGAGTACAATAGATGATCTTGGTTTTGTTGTTGTTGTTAAGACATTATTGTGTTTGAAGGTATCATTTTTTTCTGTGAGTTTGGTCTTGGAGAAGAGAGAGAGAGAGAGAGAGAGAGAGAGAGAGAGAGAGAGAGAGAGAGAGAAAGTCCCAGAGTGAGCAATATCCACAGATTTGTTGGAAATTCCAAGAGAAGCTTTTTCTTGGAGTCTGTGCTGCACTTCAGTGTCTCTTTTCATGGAGTTCATTCTAGCAGCTCCATGACTAGCTGGTGATTTTCAAGGTCTCCTCCCAAAGCCCTGTGCAGTTTATTAATTTAAAAGCAGCAGCAATTTTCCTAGAGGTGAAACATCTAATGATTTTTTTCCAATCTCTTTTGTAGGAGGTATCACTGAGAAAGTATGATTAGATTCAACCCAGTTGTCTCCCACAACAATAATACGTAGAAAATGTCAACCAAGGTGAATCACCATGTGTTAAGAAGTCCAAGCCTTAGGTTAAAGGATGTACCAGAGAGAACTGTTCTGCTTACAGAATGAAAACGTGTTGCACAAATTATCTTAAGGAGCCAAAAGCAGCATCCAGTTCTCACTTAAAACAATTTGTTCTTGGAATATTGTCAGCTAAAATTGTGGTCAACTTTTGAAAATTGTATGAATTTGCACTGCATATTTTATTTAGTGTTTAGCAAAACTCCAATATGGCTCTGCATAACTTACACAATACACCAAGAAAATGACTTCAGAAACTCCCACGGAAGTTGACAAATTGGGCATCTAATGCTTTTAAGCTAATTGCATGCTTAGCAGTTAAGGAGTTGACTTGTTAAGAATGAAGACCAGAGTTTTGTGGAGACAATGCTCTGCCTGCTGCCACATGGAATCCGATCAAACCCTGTATCAGAAATATTACAGACTCTTAAAGAAGAAAATAATGTGCGCTTTAATCGCCATGCTACTTAGCGTTTCACTGAAGTGCTCATGAATCATATGCACTGTCATAGCAGTTTTGAAAACTATTCCTGAATTTTCAAGCTGTTATTTTCAGGAAATTTCGAAAGCAAATTGCTAAGTGATAAAGAGTAATTTGGTAGCATTGCTTATGTCAGTGTTTTGCTTTCTTGCAGACTGGAAAAACAGAAAAGAGTAATACGCTGAATGCCGCCATAGACAACATGAGCAAGAAGACAAGAGACCTCCGCAGACAGGTGAGAGCAAAGAAAGGGCAGGAGTAAGAGGCAAAAGAAGCTCTCATTCATTGCTGTACCATTTCATGTTTTTTGTCTCTTAAAATTATAGACTAGGAAATGAAAAAGCAAGCTTATATTTTCTGCATTTATGTGCCTTGAATGGCTTGTGGTAAACAGAAGATAGGAAAGGGAGTATTGCCTTAATGTTATGCAGGATTTCAATTGAATCTTGGCTCTGTCCTCATCAGATGTAAGTTCTGAGGCATAGATTTCATCTGTCAGAGCTTCTCTGACTCTATGAAATGCAATTAACAATGTGAAATGGCTTTGGATATTAAGCAAATGCATATTGCTGCACTGGAGAGATGGCTTGGTTGGTAAAGTGCTTGCCTTGCAAACAAGAGGACCTGATCTGAATCCCCATGACCCTCTTTGGAAAAGGTCAGGTGTGGTGGAGCAGGTTTGTAATCCAAGAGCTGGGGAAGTGGAGAGGAATGGATTCCTGGACCTCTCTGCCCAGTCACCCTAGCTACTTGGTGAGCTCCTCATAGTGGAAGGTCCTGTCACAACTGAAAGGTGTATGGATCCTCATTAATGAACCTGACATTAGCTTTTGACCCCACGTGCATATACAGCACATGGACACACATCTGTGCACAAATGATCATGAACACATACAAACGCATTCACTTCCACATAAAAGAAAATCAGTACATATGATTGGAACACTAAATGTTTCGAGATTCTGGTAAACTGAATTTATGCCAGTACTGTGCTGGCTGATTTTTTTTGTTGTTATTGTTTTGTTTTGTTTTTGTTTTTTTTTCGAGACAGGATTTCTCTGTGAGCTTTGGAGCCTATCCTAGCACTTGCTCTGGAGACCATGCTGGCCTGGAAGTCACAGAAATCTGCCTGCCTCTGCCTCCCAAGTGCTGGGGTTAAAGGCATGCACCACCAACACCTGGTGTGCTGGCTGATTTTAATGTCAGCTTGACAACAGTAGCAGGCATACTAGAGGAGGAAGCATCAATTAAGAAAATGCTTCCAGAATGCTGTCTGCAATCCTGTAGTGCCTTTTCTTAATTGATGACCAGTGAGGGAGGGTCCAGTCCATGTGGGTGGTACCACCTCTGGGCTAGTAGTCCTGGGTTCAATAAGAAAGCAGGCTGAGCAAGCAAGTAAGCAGAATCCCTCCACAGCCTTTTGTCAGTTCCTGCCTCCTGTCCTGACTTCCTTTAGCAATGAACAGTGATGAGGAAGTATAAGCCTGATAAACTCTGTGCTCCTCAAATTGTTTTGGCCATGACTTTCTATAACAGCAATAGTTAAGACAAGTATATACTGAATTTCTCTTCCTAATGCAACAGGGGCTCAACCTTGTCAGTTCTTCCTCTTCATGGTTTGTGGGTGCTTCAGAAACCAGTTTCTGTTGAGACTTTCTTTTCTTCATTAGTCACCAGGATCAGAAGATCAGAAAGGATTTTTACCAAGCAGTTGAGAAGCCCAGTGTTAGGACACATATTAATCCCACCCCCAACTTAGCTGATTTCCAAGGCCTCTGTTTCCCAATCAGTTTCTCTCTCTCTCTCTCTCTCTCTCTCTCTATATCTTAGTTAAATGGGAAGAATTAGAGAAATGGCTGGGCTGTATTTTAATTCAGAAGTAGATCCATACACAGAATAATAAGGATTCCCAGAAAAGGTTGTGTCACAGCAGAATTTTAAATTCTGTGAAAATCATGCTTTTTCAACATTAGGGCCTCGATGGGAATTCTCTTCCTGCTATCAGAACTTAGGATTATGGGATGTAAGAATCAAAGGAGTGTACCAGCACAGCCCCTTTGGACCCTCAGTGATGGCCTTCCTCCTCCTTGTATGATTTTTACTTTTTGTCTTCTCTAGGATTTCTTTCCACTCCTGTACTCCAAGCTGGCCTCAAACTTCTGACCTCCCAAGTGGAGAGGCTTGGGGTTACAGATATATACCACTCTGCCAGGTTTTTTTTTCCCCCTGAGATATTAGGTATAGAGCCAGATCTTTCTGTATGCTTAGCAAACACTTTACCAGCTCAGCTACACTGCCCCCTCCCAAACCCTTCTTCAGGATTCCCACCCCTTCTGCTCTTGTTAAATTTGGAAGAACTGCCAACCACAGTATTTCCTGTCTCTGTCTCTGTCTTTTCCGTTTTATTTGCCACCAGCAAAGCTATGCATAAAATGCTAATCTGTATGCATACCTCCCCAGCCTTTACAAATATTAATTTTCTCAAAGACTTTAGAAAAATCTATTTCTTACACATTGAATTAGAAAATTTAGCAAATCAAACTCAACATGCTCAGTTAAGTTTGAATTTTAGGTTAACAACAAATATGTCTTAACATAATTATGTTCCCAATGTGGCATGGGACACACTTTCATTTTTTTAAAGTGTGTTTACTACAAATACAAACATTCCCAGGTGTCCTGCATTTTATTTTGCAATCATGCATGGTTTGTCTCCTCACTGTCATTAGTGAGATCCAGACTGTCACATCAGGGTGGCCAATGCTTTCTCATATTCATATCAGTGTGTAGGGAACAGCTATGCTCTGGGGATTTTACGGAGCAACATCACTTTAGTTTCAGTTTCTTCTTTCATGAACCACTGAAACTCAGACCCACTCTGATCCCCAGGAGCCACTGAGGTCATCAGCAGAGCTCTGTCTACATTGTCTTGACTTGTGATGATGTCAACAAACCAACAACCATGCCATAGCTCAGGTTGGGAGTTGAGATCCAAAGTCAAAGAGCATGGTTTCTTCTGCATTATACATGTTAAGCACATCTATAAAATCACTCCAAATGAAAGACCAAGCAGGAGCTCCTTTTCATTTGGAGAAACAGCACATGGTGTGTGTGTGTGTGTGTGTGTGTGTGTGTGTGTGTGTGTAGACATGGAATGAAGTGTACTCCATCTTCAAGGCTACTGTCAGTTGCTGTGATTCTCCCTCTCAACTACTCTTTCCCCACACCCAAAATGACTTCATTTCCCATTGTGAAGTCTTTACTTTGGGTATAGAGTTTGAGTATATAGTTGAGGTTTGGGAATGTAACTTTGTTCATTGAGTGCTTTCTTGGCAGACTTTTAGCTCTGGTATCGATTCCTGATACCTCATAAACTGGACACAGTGGTACTTATCTGTCAAATCAGCACTAAGGATAAAGAGGCAGGATGATCCTAAGTACAAGTTTACCCTCTGCTACAAACAAGTTTAAAGCCAGCCTGGGATACATGACACCATGTCTCAAAAAAAAAAAAAAGTTGGAACAGCAAAATGAGTAATCTCCACATCTTTTTATACTTTCAACATTGAAGAGTTTATTCTAAGCACCTTACATATGCTCTTTTCTCACAAAAGCAAAACCCTGCTCTTAAACTGTTTTTTAAATATTTAATGATCATCTCTTATTCTAGATCTGGTTTTATTTTTAGAAAAACATCCCAAGAACCTCCCTTTTTGCTCATTCATCCTTATTCATTTCATCAGTAACAATGCCTTAGCTTTAGATTAGAGAATGGTGGGTCTATAAGAGGAGCCACACTTCTCTTAGGAATGACTAAAGTGTAGCCATTATACACTGTGGAACATAAAGATGGAATGTTCTAGCACACAACATAGTTGGGTTTTTTTTGTTTCACCTTTCTTCTATGGCTTTCTCAAGAATTTTGCTGGGGATAGAGTCAAAGATCTTGGCATGGTGTTCTCAGTTCTCTGTGACTTGATCACAACATTTTGTATTTTTTTTTTAGTTTTTTTTTTAAATCTCCTTAGTTCCTCCTTGCCACAGCTGCTTACTCACTCACCTCTGATAAAAGGACCTACTAACTTCTCAGCAAAAGGTCATCTCCTCCTTCAGCACACATTTGCAAGCTCATCATGTTCAGTATACTAATAGACCTCTCATGGCATCCTGTGCTTTGACCCTTTTCTGTTTCCTGTTCTCCTTTCTCATCTTATGTCACCTGAGTTCCAAAATAGTGTGGATGCTACTCCTTTCAGCCAACCTTAGCTGTTTTCTTCAGCAGGAATTACTATTATTTCCTGAGAGCCCTTAAAATCATGTGAACTTCTTTCGCAATAGTCATCCCTCCTCTGACTGTATTTTGTTTTTTTCTCTTAAGGAGAATTTTCTTCCCAATGGATTGTAAACATTTAGAATGAGAATTATGATCAGATTTCTAATTTGCTGAGTATTTCCAGAACTCTCTAATGAGTGTATTCTTTGAGTTACCGATTTAATTCTTGAAATAAGAAATAATGCATTAGTGTTATATCAATTCTCATGTGTATCAATTTGCTAAACTTACTTGGTAGAGCCATGGTGCCATCCAGGTACAATATAACTAAAGTCCAAGTATGTAATCATCACATCAGGGGACAAGGAAAATGGGCTGTTGATTTAAAAAAAAAAAAAAAAAGAACCAAAGAACCAAATACACTGACTTTACTGTCATCCATTTTTTTCTCCATTATTTATTTTACACATTTTTCAAAACTTCACTTTTCTTTTTTCCTTTCACCTGGCCTTCCATTATTTACATGGGACATTGAATACTTATCAGTTGGAACACCCAGTAAATGAAGAATGTTTTTGAATACTTGTTACTTCATTAAAAACCAAGACATCCAAATATATTCTACTTCTGTTGTCTTGTGAAGAATGAAACGTCATTACTTTTTCCAAAGGCAGTTTAAAAGTCTCACTTGTTTATATTACTAAGAGAAAGCATTACAGGTCACAGAGGCTAAAGTAATGGTGTCCTATATCAATTAAAATACAATTCTGACAACAACAAACAAAGGAAGCACATGACCCCTACTGATTATTTCATTGTTTGATTGCCTGACTAGCATCTTGCTTCCCACATTGGCAGCTCAAGCACTGAGCACAACACTTGGAAAGCCATTATCATCTCTTATACCACTCATCATCAGTATATTAAGTTCTCATGAGGCCACATCCCACAAACTTGGCACAGTGACCAGACACTGAATTGTTTCTCAATTTAGTTCTTATTGATCAGTCAAGTTTTGCAAAGCATATTTTGCTCACTTACTTAAAATTAAAATGGCGTCTGTATGCACAAATAGAGTTTGTCTGATTTCTGAAAGGAGGAATATTTTCTGAAATACTTTCTTTGCTTTCTATACATCTTCCCCTCACAACTAATTCTTGTCCCTCATTTGATAACTCTGGTAGACTTCCTTATACATTCCTCATGGGGCTTTTGCTTTTGTGTTTCAATTGTAGAGAAATATATTATTTTATTTGAGATACTAAACCACTTACATCAGCTGAAAATAAAAAAAAAATGATGCCTCAAAGCCTTTTATTAAGCAACAGTGAAGAAAGATAGAAAGCCCCTCAGTTTGGCTTTGTTCTGACATCATTCATGCTTGACCACAAGCAAGAATTTATTGAAAATTCATACTCCACAACCCCTTTTGGCTTTCCACTAACTTCCAATTTTAGCACCATAACTTCATATGTTGGAGTCTTCTTTAGAATGTTTTTTTTTTTTATGTCATCCAAGTGAAAGAATTATAGTAAGCCCCTGGACAGGAAGACAGTATGAAAATAAAGAAGCCACAGGCTATGTAATTAATACAAATATTGACAAGGTGTAAAGAGAGTGTCTCCTAGGAATATGTCAAGACAAATGGAGGAGATTCCCTAACAGAACATCCTAGATTTTTTGTATTTTGTCCCTAGCCACCCTGCTAGTTTTATCCCATAATAATCCCATTTGCATGGTCAGCAAAATGTAGGGCCTGTCAGAGTTACATTCAGTGATGTGCAAAGCAGAAGTGACAGAGTATGATTTGCAAAGATCAGTGTACAAAGATGTGGAGCCCTGTCAGAGGGGAGTGAACAGGCGTTACCAACAGAGGCAGGTTTGAAACTGGATTTTGTTCACAAGAACAGACACTTAGTATAGGACTTTAGTGCACAGAGTTTATTTGGGAGGTGGTTCCAAAATATAATTTTTTTTTGGTAAATGCCAAGCAAAGCAGAAAAGAGAAGGTATGCTATCAAGGCTGCAGCTATAGGCAACAGGGGCTTTAGGGCTTCTTGGAATCAGAATTTCTTCTCAGGTTGCCTGGCTAATGGCGCAAGCCAGATCTAATAGCTCTTGCCACTGTTTATGGTTGTTCCTGGGGATGTGGGCTCTCTATAACTTGCAAGCTGCTGTTGTGCTTTCTGTGAGAACCTCACAGAGACTTAGAGTAAGCACTGACGCAGAATAATGAGAAGAAGGATAGGGTGTCTTCCGAGGACCTAGTATTGAGGCCCACAGCAAGAGGTGAAATTGCAGACTGAACTAGAGAATGTGCAGTCCAGTATCAAAGGCCTCCCAGGTCAGCTTTAACTATGGTCCTGATAAAGGGTTTGCATTCAACAAGTCAGGCAGAGGATTCTGAGAGAACTCATGGATGCTTAGCTGGACAGTTTGATATTTGCCTGGGTTAAAATACTTTATGGAGGAAAATAAAGCCGGTTTTAAAGGCTTCATTCAACAAGTTATAAACCTCTGACAAATTCCTTCTATCAAGGGACCAAAAAGAACATGTCTTACAATGTGAGACAAAAGTCTCTGTCTCTTGATTTTACAAACATAAAAAACTATATCATTTGAAAAATCATAGGAAGGAGATTTGACACTTTAGGCTTGGTTGTAGATGGGGACTCTATCATTTACATTTGTGAAAAGCAGCCTATTTTCAAACATGCATTTTAAGGTAGCTAATATAAAATCTCCCTTCTTCATCTCACAGTCAAATTACTAGAAATCAGATTTTATACCCAGTGTCTCTGCTCTCTTGCTTCCCAATCATTCTTGAAGAAATAGTGGTAGGGTTTCTATATGCAATTTTATACAAAGCTTGAGGTTGCTGTGTTTACCACTAACCTTCTTAGAGATCAAACTCTATAAACAAGTCTCTGTTTTATAAATTCAGTTCTTTTAAAGTTTATATATATATATATATATATATATATATATATATATATATATATATAGTGTGTGTGTGTGTGTTACATATATTGTTATAATGTTTAATGCCTCACATTCCTCTATCAGATTGTATGTGTTCATACACTTTCCTCTTTCTTCACTTTTCTCAGGATACCTAGCACTTGAAATGTGAAGCGTGATACTAATTAGTCTTACCAATAAAAACCCAGAGTCGGGCATCAAGGTAAAAGCTGAAAGGTCAGAGAAGCAAGGGAGCACCCACAGCCACTTTATCCTTTCCAGAATCCTCTGACCTAATGGAATGAGATCCTGTCTCAGATCTGCCTTATCATTTCCTCTCTCCACCCAGGCTTATTACTTTCTGTCTGTCTGTACATTCTCCAGACCTCGATGGCTAACTAGTGGCTAGCTCCACCCTTTGATCTCCAGGCAAGCTTTATTTAATACAACAGAAATGCTATTCGGAAACACTCGTTTCCTTGGTGCGGTCAGCTATCTAAAAGAGTCCACAGTGATGGAGATGATAACTATTTGGTAGGATACACATATTTGGAGAATCAGGACATTTTATTTCTTGTAATTGGTACTCTTTATCTTCGGCCATTCTGTCAGCCTCTTTAAGTCCTTCTCTTCCATTTACCTGTCTACTATGATGGTGTTTCCTGTCGCACTCTTGAATTTTTCCTCCCTGTGTGTCTATCATCAAGGTTCTAGCTGTATCATTTACTTGGACTAACTCCCATATTCTGACCCTCATAGATGAACTCTATGCAGAGGTATTTCTCACATCCAAGTTACAAGTCCCAGAAAAGAATGGGGTGGAGGACTGTCACCACAAACTCTTCCCTGTTCTTGAGACCCTCAACTCTATTTCTGAAATGTGTACAGCATGTGCTTCCCAACTGCAACCTTAGCCTGTGCCCCTGACCTCCCTGATCCATTCCTCATGAACTGCAAACACATTGTTCAATCCTTCATGGCCCTCACCTTGCCTTGTGACCTCTCCCCTTCTATACCTTGTTATAAATGAGCAGCAAATATTAATTTGTTGCCATTAGTGGAACTTCATAGTAAGCAGAAAGTTCCACCGAGGATCTTCCTTCACTCTATGATGTAATTAAGATCTAAAAAACTTCAAAAAGCTTCTCAGCTACCTCTACCAATATGAGTCGAGGTGTTTTCATACAAGACGCCAATAGCCCCCTATGGATTTATCATCTGATGAATGTTATAGGAAGACAGTGCTTTGTTTCTAATTTTTTTTTAAGTGCTAGGAATCGAACCTGTGATCTCACACATGGAAGGCAGGTGCTCTGCCACTGAGCTATCTTCCCAGCAAGACAGTGCTTTGTACAAATGAAGCTCTATCATTCTGGATCTGGAAATGATACCAATAGAAATTCTTACACTATTTAAAACTAATCTGTCAACTGATTTTAAAAATACCCTAAAATGTAACCCTCACAGAAGTCAAATTGCAAATTTTCTATCTTGTCTTTATCTTTTAATTTATAGAGAGACGCTGTTAAACTAAATGACAAGGTAGATCCAAAAGCCTTAGGGCTCATTCATGGCCACTGATGACATTTATTAAAGCACAATATTGGGCTATCATAATCCCTGTGGTTTCAATATTAGAATACAATAAATTAATTTTCAACACTATTTTTAAATCTTGGAAAATTTCTGCTGAGCACAGCAATTATCTGAAGTCATTTATAAGCTTCCATGTAATTTAATTTAAGAGAACTAATTGTGGCAGAATGTTACAGTTGTTTAATAATTTAAGGTGTGAGGGCAAGAACAATTAAGGCAAACAGAGGAAATTGGACATCAAACTCATTTATTCTTCTTCTTGCTCTATTAATCTGTTACCATCTGGTACAATTTGTGATCTCACTTGGTTTAATTACCATGAAGTCTACAATTTAAATAATCAAAATGTATCATCAATTCTTCCAATAAGTTAGAAAGTATTTTATAATTATTAAGGTACAATATGCACATTTTATTTGTACACTTGCTGAACATTCTAATCATGTAATTTCTTTGAGGGAAAAGTATTCAATTACCCCTTACCATTTGAGTTATGGGCTAAATATAATATAATAAAAATTAGAGGCTTTTGGGAGCAAGGGAATTATTACTGCCTGACTTTTTATACTGAATGTTTTTGTTTATCTTGCTTCTAAAGGATGTTCACATGCTGTACCACGTATTATGATTGTAAGGATTGCTTAAGAAATGTGTAAAGTGAACTTTAGAACCACTGAGATCATTAGACTGGAAAATAACACAAACTTTTTCTTGTAAATAAAAGGAATTTTTTTCTTCTTCTCAGATCCGCAAGGCTATTATAGATCACATATCTGATTCTTTCTTGGACACGACAGTTCCACTCCTGGTTCTCATTGAAGCTGCTAAGAATGGCCGAGAAAAGGAAATCAAAGAATATGCTGCAATATTTCGTGAGCACACAGGCAGGCTTGTGGAGGTAAGTGTGCAGCTACTTCAAATCCAGGAAAGCAAGGTTCCCGTCTCCATTTACAGCTGATTTCAACTCATATAAAAAACAATCAACAACATATTACAAAGGCTGCTGTGTTGAGCCTAGGTAATAGGGAGGTATGTGAGTCAAATGGTATAAGCCACCCTTCAGTGGCTTGCAAAAAGAGCAATTTATTTATAAAGATGTGTGAAATTGTGCTCACTGTTGTTTCAATTTTAAATATCCATTTTAGTGGCACCAGACAAAAGAACAAGTTAAATACATAGTTCTGTCCTGGTAAATATTTTCTTACCATTTTAGCTTTAATTTAGCAAATACTCCATGCCATATGTTTTATTGTCTGGATTTCATGGGTCCTTCCCTGCTGCTTCTTAGAATATGTTATGTAACACAATATAAAAAACAAAAGACAGTAGAATTTGCAGGTTTTGAGGGTTCCATGAAAAATTAAGTAGGAATAGTGTTCTATGGGAAGAGGAGATAATAAACTTTAATTCCCTTGGCTTAGCAGCTGCAGATGTGACCATGACCCCATGGTTTTAAGAGGAAGATGGCAGATTGCTACCAGACTTATGAAGGGTTTTAGATAAGAGATTCTCAAGGTCAACAGTTGAACCTGTTGCATCATGGATATGAAAACATAGCACAATAAAGCAGAGAGGCTGAATGGAAGAATTTCTTAAGGTAACAATACTCACAAGGCTAGGAACCAGATACTAGAATGGGGTTGTGTGTTTTACCAGGTTCATAACCAAAGATCTGTTGACTGCCACTCAGCAGTATGACTCTACCAGATTTGTTTTTTGTTTTTTGTTTTTTTGTTTTTTTGAAACAGAGTCTCACCATGCCACCTTGGCTAGTTTAGAATGTATTTTGTAGACCAAAGATCCACCTGCCTCTGTCTCCCAGGTACTAAGATTAGAATGGTGTGCTAACATGCTCAGCCATTTGTTCCAGTTACAGTGACTAGTATGTATTAGAATCTTCTGTGCCCATTCCATGCTGGTGATTAAACATTTGACTGCCACCTCTTCCTACATAATCACAAACTCTGGAGTGAAATGTGGTTATTTTGCCCAAATCGCTCATAAAAAATTGTTAGAGAAATAATCATAACTCAAATTAGAATCCTAGTAACACAGTTTTTTTTTAACACCTTTAATGTAAATATATGGAACAAATTCCAATGTAGCTAGCATTTTTACTGTAAACTCTCCTGCCTGACTCTAGTCTCCCTCACTAGAAAATGGAAAGGAAATGGATGAATACTTGAAGGCTGAGGTCATGCCGTTTCCCCAAGATGCCGACATCTTGGGGGTAGGTTTTACAAAGAGATGCCTAACTGAGCATAGTCCTAGGCAGTTGCAAACCATCCATCTAAAAATGGGATTCTATGCTGAAGTCACACCAAATAATTGGGGGGGCATCAATTTTGTGATATACTTTGAAAGAAGTTTGATTTCTGAAATAGTGTATGTTTATTCCAATTTCTCAGTTCAATCTTTCTATGAAAACCTTGTCTGTATGCTGCCTACTGGAAAATGACACCTTGAGCAAACTGTAAAGAGGCAATAGGTAGGGCCAGAGACACAGCTAATGCTGCACCCCTGAGAACTCTTTCCAGAGACTTCTCTACTCAGGGGAAGCCCAGACACTAGACTTCGTTGTTGGAAAGACTGCCCGGACCTGTCATTATACACATAGTTGGAGTTTATTAGGAAGCGCTCTTAAAATAGATTTAACCTTCTGACTTAGTAGAGTTGTTTAAAAGGATAATAGGCATCCCCGTGTGGGTATTGGCACCTCAAAAGAAATTCCTCTTAAATGTCTTTACAATAGTTATGCATATTATTTTGAAGTCACATCTTGAAGAGTGACTAAGGAATTCAAAGATCATTGGGTTCCTGAGGTGTCATGGTTAGGATTGGTTGTGTAAGACAGTTCAGAAATGCCTGGACTGTAAACGGAGCTGATACTCTTTTCTGTGAGATTCTCAGTAAGATCTCAGTTTGTTAAAGAGTATTGGCCATATTCAAAGTCATGGGCACTCGGGGCTTCAATGTGGTTAATAGATCGTTTTATATTCTTACTTGAAAAATCTCCATATAAAAGGAAGGTTGTCTCTGTGGGCAGCAGCTTCCATGGCAAGAGTTAATTGTGCTAGAATTCTTAACTGTCAGCCAGGGAAAGACCTCATCAGGACTGCAGAATGATGATTCCTTTTCCTTTTCCACATCCTTTAACATCCCCTGTCTTTCTAGTCATCCCCCAAACAACGTTATTAAAAGTTCTATGGACAACTCCTTCTGGAGATTCTAACAATTTAAAAGGTATTTTTACTTTATCCTAGAGTTTCTCCAAGTAAGTTTTGTAATGCTTCCTGTCATGTTGTTTCACTAAATTAGTGCTGCCTTTCTATGAACTCCTATGAATATTGTCTTACTATTTTAACCAAACGATAGTTCACTATCATGCCAATAGACTTCGAAGAATTTGTTTTAAATGTTTAAGGATTTTGAGAATTCCCTGTTCCTTGTGAGCATTAAAGAGTAAAAGCTTTTGGAATTATGAGCTATTGGGAGAATGGGTTTTACTTAAATCTGAATATCCCCTTAACACAGAATAGAGTGATTATGGAGATCTGTAGTAGTATCTGCATTTCCACCACTCTCTGGTGTTATGGAGACATTCTGGGCTAAGTCACTTTGACTGTGCAGAATAATTCCTACACAGACTAACTTAAAGCAACTATTTGTTTTGATCACTCATCCATTTTTAATTAGCACAAAGGTGAACAGTTATTGTTTAGGATTTCTCAATAATTTGTCATTCTCATATATTAGCTGGATAGAGTCTACCAAATATTTGTCCCAGTTGAACACACAAGGTGGTCTGTTCCCATGCCCTTGTATGTTTGCTACCAACTGAGAGATCTATATTATTGAATAGAGATCAAACATAGCTTTTCCATGTGACCTGAGCTTCTTGTAGAATAGGTTTTAGGTTCTAAGGGGTCACATTAGCAGTACCAGTGGTAGATGAAACAGGGCATCGCTGGTCACATAGCTTGAGGAGGTCTTTCCAGAGATTTCTAAGGGGAAATTGTGGTCTTGCTTTATAGCACAGAAAAGAACTTATGGTGAGTCGTTAGGAAGCCAAGGTGGGGTTTGTCAAGAAGAAAGGATAGAGAGTAACACATCACACACCGAGGGGTGAACTCTATCTCTTCTTAGGAGAGAAAGCTGCATGCAAGCATCTTTAAAAACCTAGGAGATGGTTTCTGTGACTATTGAAGTTTTATTGTTGATTATAAAGGGTACAATCTGTATCAAAGTTTAAAACTGTAAATTAAAATATTTGCTAATTTTATTTTTTATTACAGTTATTTGTCTTTGTGTGTGGGGGAGTGGTATGTGTGTAGACATGCTCATGCATGCGCAGGTCAGAGAAAACTTGCCAAAGCTGGTTCCCTTCTTATGTCATTTGTGTCCCAGAGCTAGAACTCTGGTCTTCAGGCTTGGCAGTGAACAACTTTACTCTTGAGCCATTTTATCAGCTCAAGTAAATTTCATGTTGTTTTGTGTTGCTTTGTTGAGGCAATGTCTTTTTTTTTTTTGAAGATTCTTTTATTTGAATTAGAAACAAGATTGTTTTACATGACAATCCCAGTTCCCACTCCCTCCCATTCTCCCCTAACACCCCCCCTAAAAAAAAACCCTGCCTATCACATATCCCTTCTGCTCCCCCTGGATGGTGAGGCTTTCCATAGGGTGTCATCAGAGTCTATCATATCCTTTGGGATAGGGCCTAGGCCCACCCCCGTGTGTCTTGGCTCAGGGTGTATTCCTCTATGTGGAATGGGCTCCCAAAGTCCACACCTATGCTAGGGTTAAGGACTAAACTACTACAGGAGGTCCCATAGATTTCCGAGGTTTCCTCACTGAAACCCATGTTCCTGGGGTCTGGGTCAGTCCCATGCTGGTATCCCAACTATCAGTCTGGGGAGCAAGAGTTCCCCGATGTTCATGTCAGCTGATTCTGTGGGTTTCACCAGCTTGGTCTGGACCCCTTTGAGGCAATGTCTTAATATAGCTCTTGCTGTCCTGGAATTGCCTTTGTAGACCAGGCTGGCCTTGAATTCACAGAGATCCAACTGCTTCTGTCTCTGCCTCCTGACTGCTGGAGTTAAAAGTCGCACCCCACAATGCCCAGCTTGACTTATTTTTACCCACTGAGTTTTCCATTAGTAAATGTAAAGTGCTTTATGAAGTACAGTGTACAGATTTACATATGAGAAAATGATACTGAGGAAAAACATAGACTAGTAAAGATACATACGAGGCAAGGATTGTAGTATGTCTGCTGAGAAGACATCCTGGCTTTGTGTGGGCTTCTGAACTTAGGTCTCCATGATAACTTGATAAGGGATTCACCTACTCTTCATGCTAACATGGTAAGGAGCTTTACCCACTCCCTATGTACCATGGTAAGGGTTTCACCCACTGAGCCATTTCCCCAGCCAGCACATATATTTTTATCATGAATATGGTTCACAATTTGATTTTTGAGATTTTCCCAGAAGGAGTAGTATAGACATTTTAAGTGATTAAATCAGCTGTGTTGAAATCCTTGACTTACAGCCATGAGAGACCTCAACCAGATTGAGGAAGAGTTAGCCTCTTTTCTTCTCTCATGGCCACTTAATTTTCCCTGTCTTTCCTAAACTGCCTCAGCAAGAGCAAGCAAGAAACAGGAAATGGAAGCAGCCTTTCTTTTAATGCTCAGGCTCAGAAATTGTCATTTATTTCTACTGTACTCTTTTTGTTGTGTTTTTATAAATTAAGAGTATTTTTTTATTTTTTTTATGAAAAGAAGGGGTAAGCAAGTGATCGATACACTTCTATCTCATTCTTCCACTTGTTCTTAAGCTCAGTTATCTCCATGATTTCAACTTGGAATTTTCCTAGAATTACAATACCTAACTA